TCCAGAGTACATCATCGCGATAAACATTAATAATGCCATCAACGAGCCTACATCGAGCGTGAACGTAAAGAATAAAGCCCGAAAAAATCCAGTGAAATACAAATGAACGATTTCCTACCCCCTAAATTTCTCTAGTTTTCTTTCGAGTGGTTTTTCCCATCTATTGTACTTTATAAATTTGATGTTTCTGAGCAATTCATTAAAGAAAAAAGGCGTTTATCTTTGGAAGTCACAAATTTTCTAAAGAAAAAAGAATTTACTCTTCCATATAACATGTTAACCACCAAGAAAAATAGTAAAACAAGTGTTGGAATATACACCCATTTCCCAACATAATATCCCATATAAGAATACAACACAATAAACATCGGTGGTGATGCAATAGCAGTGATAAAGTACTCAAAATTATTGATGAATGTACCAGAGTCATTAGACATTTAATTGACTAATCTTCCTGGTTTTGCTATTCCCGCTGCATTCAACTTGAGTGCTTTATCATTTATTAAACCAATAAGACCATTCCTTATTCGCAAAGAAAACACGAAAAAATAGGCTTTGGCACATTGTCCAGAGGCGCTTGATATGAGTTGAAAAAAGAAAGTTAACACTACAAAAATAACACCATCTCTCAGACTGGCGTTCTCTTTGTTAAACCATTTAATTATGAATTGACATTCTAAAGGAAATGCAATTGAAAATAAATTGCTATGGCAATCATTATATACATAAAAAGAAAATTTTTCCATTCGCGTTTAAAAATGACTTTCCATATGGATGGCTTCGATTTTTCACTCTCGGTTTTCCAAGCACTTTTATAGTAGTCAATTTCCTTTTCAATGTTCTGATTTTTTGGAACGGGGTTCGTGTCATCAAGTGTCAAATTGCCTCGTCTCCCCTTCATGATTTGCTTTATCACCATTCTGAACAAAATTGCTCTCAAAAAGACTCGAAATGAGTTTGGCTCTTTGTTATCTTCTGAAATTTTTGTGCTCTCGAAATAACAGTCTTCCTCTTCAGAAGAAGCTGTGGAAATCTCGGTTGATTCAGTTGAAAGTTCAATTTCTTGACAGCACTTTTCGGAAGCTTTACTCATGTAGGTTTTCAGATGAAAGTAAAATCATTTTAATTGGGAGCAGTGTGTAGTTTTAATGTTGCTAAATTAGTGCTTTAAAAATAGGTTGTTATTTGATATTTTGATTTAAAAATAAGTGGACAGCCAATAAAATTCAGTGCAATGGACCCTGTTTATTATTTGATTTGCTTATTTCAAAATAATGAAACAGTATTATCTGTTACAAATATATTGAAAAAAATACGAAAACAAATAAAATGGTTGTTTGTTATTTAAAAAAAATAAAACAAATCCATCCTACCATTGATAAGTAATGGTTCAAGTTTAATCGATTTCAATTAATTTGACTGTGCTATAAAAATTTGTTGTTTGTATTTTAAATTAATTATAACAAAATGTTGAACCACTGGTAGATTTTTAACTATAAATTCAAATATCTATTAGGAGCTTTAAAATCTATTTTTTGGAAGATCAAAATGTGAATATTATTGTATAGTTTATTTATCACAATAAATAAAATAATTTTTTATATGAAAAAAACGAGCTTTTTAATTTTAAAAGATGATTCATGCAAAATAAAATGCTTCAAATTAATAATTAATTTGTTTACATAAGTTGATATTTAGTTAATTACAATTAATATAAGAACAGAGCTAGACAACTTATTATTCAAATGATTAAGGGTGTAGTTTTTTATACATAGATTTATTTTTTTTTGTTTGTAAAAATAAGAAATTAAAATACTCTGTGTAATATATAATAAATAACATAAGATAAGAAGAAATGAATTTGACGATCATCACAAAAGAACAACGACACAAAGTATAAATACTAAAGTCATTGTACTCATTGATGCATTCGATGCAATTTCTTTTCCATCCCAGCACGCTGCCATTGATGGTGCATTTGGGTCTTTAACAAGTGTGATAGCATCAAATGAAAAAGTATTTGTTGAGCTATTCTGATTTATTGCAGCGAGTCCCCAGAACTGGTTATTTGTTAAATTCAATTTCGTCATTTCGACGGCAACAAACGTCCATACATCCTTTTTCACAGTGACATAAATTGGTTCGTTCTCTGTCTTCAACGCCTTTATATACAACCCTTTCTCCGTGTCGATACTTCCTCGCACGTAAAACTGCAATTGTTTGTATTGGTCGACTCTAGCAGGGAATGTAGCTCCAAGTTGTAATCCACCATATGCGTTCATAGTGATTTCCAAACAGTATTTTCCCTCTTTTGGAGAATTTGTGGAATATAAATTTCTTGTTGATTTGTACGACCAGTCTTTGTATGTACCGACAACACCATCTTTATACAACACAGAGTAGTCGTCCCAAAGAGTGCAACACTCGTCGTTATTTGTTGGTTTTGTCACTTTATTCAACTTTTCGACATCAAAAAATTGGTCTTTAGGAACAACAAAATTTCCATCTGCTTCTGTTACAACCTTTTCGTCTGGTGTTTTAACAGTTGCAGTGACGTAATCTCCGTTTATTGAATATATTTTTAAAGTGACTGGAAATTCTAATTTGACGCCATTTGATGTTTTGTACGGCCACGTGTTGTATCCAGTCCGATTCAAAGTTATAAATTCGGTCATAACAGAGTCTTTAAGTAACACACTCTTCACACCAAGGGTATGCTCAGAGACTACAAAAGAGAACCACCAGACAGATGTTCCACTTGCTGCTGTGATTTTGATCTTTCCTTTATAGTCGCAGGCAACCATTCTGAACGTGACATTTGTAACTCCACCAGTTGAGACGTATGGAAATGCATTTTCAGATAAATCAAAATGAATCATTGAGCCATTGCAGGGGACGTCAGTGGCTGGACACGAATTATCAACCCGAAAACGTAATGTACCACTTAGTCCAACCATTTCGTAACATATTCCACACTTATTGGATTTGTCGAAAAACGCGGCATTTGGAGCAGCACCAAACATGTAGCCGGGTATAATAGGATCGGTGCGTGGACCATAGTTACACGACCCACCATCTGCCCAGCTAGTGTAATAAGTGATTCGGCCTTTTGTACAAGAAGAAAGTGGTGTTAAAGTGGCCGTTTGACTTGTTTGTTTACCATATGAAAAGTTTTGAGAGAACGATGGAAGCGATTGTAGACGAGAAAAGTATTCAATTTTGTTATTTACTGGACACAATGAAAGAGTTTGAGACAAAAAGATCAAAGCAATAATTATTATTTCCATTCAAGTAAATATTCGAGTTTCTTTTTCGGTTTTTATATTTTTTAAACTTTTCGAAGTATCTTGTTTTAGAATTCGATACATTTGTATCATTATTAATTCAATTTATAATAAAAAATTAATAATTGTAGTTTTAATAAACAGACTCATTTGAAATAACATGATATTTGTCGAATAATTATTGAAGAAATAATTAAAAAAGACAAACAAATTCAATTGAAAAATACATTGAATTTCTATTTTTTCAATTATTTAGTTAATAACAAACAAAAATTAATAGTATAATTATAGTATAATTATTATTTATGCATTGAATCATAAACCAGTTAAATTTAAATATTTAAAACTTGATAATATATATTTAATAAGTAATATCATATATTAGTTCAATATTAATTTATTCAATTTAATGATTTATTAATTATATTTTATTGTTGCAATTTTATATAAATTAAAAAACTTCATAAAAATTGAAGCAAATATAAATGTACATGAGATGTGTTTGTACTTAAATGTCATTATACATAACTGGAAACAACGTCATAACAATAAACAACAAATTAATAATATAAGAAAAACTAATCCACTTACAAATAAACACTTTCTATCATCTCAATAATTTGATCAATATTGGCCCTTTCTTTTGGATTATGTATCCATGCCTGTTGAATAATTGCAAAGAGTTTCTCATCAACATCACTTGGTTTTGATAACCTATTTCCACACGCAACAAAGTCTGCTACGTCCCAAGAATATTTAAATTGTGCTGTTGGATATGCCTCACGCCACCCAAAACACTCGAACATAGTAATAGAAAACGAATATATATCAGCCGCTTTCTTGTACTTCTTTTTGTTTAGCATTTCTGGTGCCATATAAATTGGTGTACCAACTCCCTTCGTGAATGTCATATTGGTCATCAACATGTTGACATTTCTACTACTCCCGAAGTCCGTTAATTTCGCTATTATACTTTGATTTGCTTCTAAAGAAAATACAAGTATATTATCTGGTTTGATATCTCGATGTAAAATACCATTGGAGTGTAAATATTGAATTCCTTTTGCCGCATTTAAGCAGAATCTGACTCGTAATATTTTTGAAATATCACTTGATTTCTTCTTTTTAATCAAGTCCTGTAACGACCCAAATTTGGCAAATTCAGTGACCATACACATCTGTGTTGGAACAAAAACAGCGCCATAGAAATGCACAACATATTCACTTCTAAACTTATCGAGCATTTGAACCTCCTTTTCAAATTCAGTAAGAGAATTGTTGTCATCATAATTCTTCATACGTTTAATAGCAACACAGTTTCCTCGGTACTTTCCTCTATATACAATACCAAAACCACCTTCACCCAATTTCTTTTCATTTCGGATTTCAGTGGGGTCCAAACGTGTGGATAATACAGTCTCTCCTTTAATTGTTATTTCGTTGTAAGTCTCCTCGCCTGTTTTGAGGGATTGTGAAATGATCAAAATCTTGTTTTCAAAAACACAAGTGAAATTGGGCGTCACAAATACTTCAAACTCACACGCAAAACCTTTCTTAAGAGATACAATTTCTGGGTTACACCGAATTTTGCACCTTTCATCTCCACATTTTGAAAATTGAATTTTTAGAGTGCGCTCTGTTTCGTTGCCAATACAAATTAGTTGTCGACTCTCCTCTAAAATGGGCAAATCGCCGATATCGCTTGTGAAGTTAATTTCTTTGAAATTGACACAAACGCCGCCTTTTATTCGTTCAAATTGTATATTTGATTTTTTCATTTTAAAAAGTGTGAACTTCTTCTCGACTGATTTTTCTCGAATTAATTTTGAAATGGAGTTCAGTACAAAATACACGACAGTTATGACCACAATTAATAAAACTATTATAAATACAACGATGATCAAAATAACCCACCACACAACTTGAGAAGCACAATATGTCCCATCTTCACTTGGTGTATACCAGAACTTACATTCAATACACTTTGAATTGTTTGATTTCAGACATTTTTCTCTTTCAGAAAAAAGTCCACAACTTCCTTTCTCTAAGATGTAATCATTAATACATGATGTACAATAATTTTCTTCGGAGCACAAAGTGCAGTTTGTATGACATTTTGCGCATTGGTTTTCTTTGTATTTATAAAACGAATCAGAACACTTAGAACAGCCGTTTTGAGTGACGTTTAAAGCACATCCAATTATTGAACTTTGTGGAATGCAATCTCCATCGTTTGTCAAAAAATTTGTCGTGTTGCATGACACACAATTTTCAGCATTCACACAAGTGGAACACTTTTCAGAACATCGAAGACAATTTAAACCAAGACGATAATAGCCACTTTTGCATTGATAACACCCATTGCCGGTCACTGAAAAGACTGAACAACTCTCTTCAAGTTCTTTGTTTGGTACACATCGATGTTCATTCATAAAATATCCGTTTTGGCAAGTTATGCAAAATGAAGAATTATACACACAAGTAATACAATTTGAGTCACACAATTGACACTTTCCAGAATCATCAGAATAATTTTGTAATATACAGCGCACACACCCATAAGAGTTCTGTATTGCACAAGTATCATCAATGTGATATGTGCACTGTGTTGAAGAAGTCAAAATGTGGTTTTCAGTGCAAGACAAACATTTTCCATTTGATACGAAAGTGCAATTGGCTATCGCAGGAGAACAAACACCATTTTGGTCCATTTGGGTATTTTCTGGATATTGGCAAGTGTTTTTCTCGCACTTTTTATTAGCAGACATGGTGTATAATTTGTCACATTTGGTTGGATTGTTTGAATTGCAAAGTATCGAATTTTTAAACACATCAGAACACTTTTGACATGTTGTACCATTAGAAAAGTGCCCTTCATTACAAGAAATAATAAACGAGTTGCTATAAGACAGAGTGTTGATTGAAACATCGGTACACTTGCCGTTCACATTAATTACATTGTTTTGTGGCACACAAAATTGACAGACGTTTTCTTGATTAACAAAGTCTTTGCATTTTTCCTTTGGATCTTCACATCTTTTTGAAACAAGAGACTTTTCTTCAGTACATTTGAAACAATCGTTTCCATCTGTTTTCATACAAAATTTGTCTTCAACACACATGCCGTTGTTATTGAGAAATCCATCTCGACACATCACACATTTTGAGCTTTTTGTTTCATCACACAAATTACAATTAATGTCGGGACATGATTCACACTTCTTTGTTACCAAATTTCGTTGTCCGGTTGGACAAGGAGGGTACTCATGACAACTTAACACATTGTTTGTGATAACACCCATCTTACACAGAATACCATCGAATTCAAAATTACTCTTTGAAGCGATAATAATACTCTTTTCCAAATTGTTTACAGTCACTGTCTCAACTGAATCCGAGTTAATAAAAACAACAAAGTTGTTAGAGTTGATAACCAATTTATAGTTGTTGATAACAACAACATTGTCTTCTTCTATTGAAGTTTTTATTGTTTGAGTTCGAATTTTGGTTCTTTGAAAATCAACTTTTTGGTGTTTTTTAAAACTCAAGTGTTTAACTTTCTGTTGTTGGACTTCTTTTTCCATGTGTTGGGCCTTTAGAATAGTTACAGTAACAGACTTGATTGCCTCAAATGGGGCAACGTAACAATCTTCTCCAGAACATGGACAAAAGTCCTCAATGAAATTGCCATATGCAACTTTAGTTCCATTAAGATGGCAATACACTTTTTGGCCTTTTCCATATCTCAATAATCTTCCTCCCATCAACAAATTATACCCACTCGGCACTGTTATTTCCATTGGCTGTTTCGAAGTGGCAATAGTGAATTCGTTTATTGATGTGAAATTGAAGCCAATAGATACCAAATTATCAACAATGAATAAAGGTGGATCTTTATATGTTCTTCCATTGATTTTTGAAATACAATTTGCTTCCAAATTTAAAGACCCTACTTCAAGCCAAGAAAGACCAGTAAATTCTTGTGTTGAAGTTTCACAATAAAACTCTGTTATTTTTCCTTTCAAAATGGGCTTTGGCCCATCGATATTAAAAAATGACTTGGACACTATAAACACGGATTTAATAGTCACAAAAGATTCGTCGTTTATGTTTATTATTGACGAGAAAGTAGCCGCCATTTCGTTTGTGACTATATTCACATTATTTGAAATGGTCATTGTGGAATCCTCTTGTGCATAGAGATTATTTTTAATTTCAATGACTGCCCTGTCTTTAAACAAAATGGTGCCTTTATATAAAGTTAAACTAGCCTTTGATGTTATTTTCCCTCTCTCATTCACAGTAAGGACACCACCATTATTTATTTTAATATTTCCAGTCGTTACCAATGAATCGTTAGTAATTAAAAATTGTGAATTTACATTTTCTACGACCACAGTGCTTGAAGTGACATTTGAAAAATTGTTTAAATTCACTGAGGCGCCCTGGGTTGCAGTGATAGAAGACTGAACGCTCATATACGAATTGTTGTTCATTGTGAAAACGGAGTTATCAGCGAGTTCTACATATGTGGCTATAAGCAGTTTTGAATTATCATTAACAGTTATTTTGTTTGCCAACTCTGACAACATTCTTTGCGAAGTATTTAAAACAGAATTTTCGAGTAATATAAGTGTTGCATTGTTGTATAGATTTAAATAAGTCACTTCTAAATTTGCGCTCTGAACTAACCTAAGTATTCCACTTGATTCAATGGCCAAAACTGTGTTAATGTTGCAATTTCCTTCAAAAATGAACTCTTTTGATTCAACTGATGTTGGACAGTCTGTCGTTGTTTTTGCAGCACAAAAGACCAAAAGAAGAGTGAATGGGTGGAGCATAAGAATACCTATGTACATTTGCAAATAAAGTATATCGCTGAATTTATCTACGTTGTCCCATTTCTACGGTTGAGACTAATATTTATAATCAACCACTTGTATTTAGTAATATTATTATAATTTTATCTAAAAAATAAATTGTGTTAAATTTAATATTTATTATTGTTTTTTAAAATCTACCATGAAAATTAAAAATATAATTATAAATACTATTGAAATATAGTTTGAAACAAAACATTAATAATAACTTTTGGGAAGAAATATTTGATTCAAAAAAGACAGTTAGCAACATTTGGTTTTCATTTAAGTATTTTGGGGTCCAATAGTTTTCGTACTGTAAATTAATTGTGACAGGAAAAAAGATCTTTGCACCAAAAAGTACTATCTTAATTTCATATTGTTATTTATTATTTATAAATAGTAAAAAATAACTGTAAATAACGGGTCATAAATACAATGAATGTTGATATGATATCATAATTTCAAGTTTTTATTTGATATTTCTTTAATTTAAGCGATTATGTTATCAAAAATAAATGGTTGATTTAACTGACTTAAAAATAATAATTTGGATTACACAATGAAGTTCATACCCATTGTTTTTTCTTTTTTCTTTTCAGCAACGACTAAACTACTCGAAAAATTCATTTTTATAGTAAACCTAAAACATAATTATAACAATAATTAAATCTTTCATATCTTATTAATATTTTAATGGTTATAAATATATAAATAAAATAATTCCCAAATTTTTGAAAAACTTTTTCTAATATTAGAATTGTAAATAATATTATTAAAATTATGGATATTATTAATAAACCATATTATATTTACTAAATCGATCTGTTTTGAAGGTTTTTCATGAAAAGCCGTCAGTTTTCATTACATCATATTTTAGATAAAATTAAAATGATAAAAATTTAAATTAACAAATATAAAAGTTCTTTAAGTAAAATGGACTTTAATTCACTAAAATATAAAAATTGTATTAAAATGTTAATTACATTTTATTAACAATTATTTGTTTCAACTTTATATATTTGTCTTTAATTTACAATTGCATTTGAACTTATTTATTAAATACTCTATCTGTAACATTTTAAAGACAATATTCAACGATTTATTTGTCATTTTTAACTGTTTTTTAAACTAACTATTAGTCTTTATTAAGAAAAATACTCCATTTGCGATAATTAAAATACAAAAACGTTATTTGCTCAAAAAATTATCTGGTATTTCTTGACCAATTATGTGTATAATTTCGAAAACCCATTCTAAAAATCCATTCCATTGTTCCAATTATTATCAGTTTTTATATTATTCCCAATCAAAAAATACAGCCATTTGACTTTCGTTAAAATACGTTTTCGAACAGATATTGTTTTAAGACTAACTACAAGACAACATTTAAGTTGTTGATTTTATTTATTGTTTTTTGTAATTAAATATAATTATAATAATTTTCACACTTGTCATACGTTTTAAATATTTTCAATTTAATAATATACTATTAATTTGAATATAAAATAATAATTTATATTGAATTATAAAAATTTTCGAGCGCATTTTCTATATTCTCAATTGGTGTTCTTTCTTTTGGATTTTGTACCCAACTTTTAGTTATTATTTCTGATAAATCGCTTGGGACGTTATTGGGTATTATTAATCTCTTTCCAGCACTTGTAAAGTCTGCGATGTCCCATGCAAACTTAAAACGCAAAACGTCCTTTTGAAACACTTCTTCCCAAATGAAAATTTCAAGCATAGTAATAAAAAACGAATATATATCAGCCGCTTTTTTGTATTTGTGTTTGTCAAGTACTTCTGGTGCCATGTACTTTGGTGTACCAATGCCTTTTGTGAATGTCATATTGGTCATCAACATATTGACATTTCTACTACTCCCAAAGTCCGTTAATTTGGCGTTTACTCTTTCATCCAATCGAGAGAAAACACAAGATAATTATCCGGTTTGATATCTCTGTGTAAAATATCATTTTCATGCAAATATAATATCCCCTTTGAAGCATCTAACACCATTTTCACTCGTATTTTCATCTTTATTTCATCACTTCTTTTCGATTTCAAAATATCTTTTAAAGACCCATATTGAGCAAATTCAGTGACTATACACTCTTTCTTTGTTATAAAAACAGCACCGTAAAAATGTACAATATAATCATTTCTAAATTTGTCGAGCATTTCCACTTCTTTTCTCAATTCAACAATTTGTTCTGCATCATCTTGTGTTTTTTGTTTCATCTTTTTTATGGCTACAATACTTCCTCTGTACTTTCCTTTATATACTATTCCAAAAGATCCTTCACCCAATTTTTTCTCTTCTATTAATTCATCATAATCAATTCGTGTTGAATTTTCTGTATGTGCTGATATTCTTATTGAAGTTGTCTCTTTCTTCCCCGTCTTTAAATTAAGTGAAATTAAAACAATTTCATCCGACAAATTGATAGTGCAAAGTGGAGTCAAAAAAACTTCAAATTCACAAGCATATCCACTTTTCAAAGTCACCAATTTAGGTTCCGTTCTTATTGTGTATTTGTCACAATTATCTTTTGTTGTTATTTGAATTTTTAAATTGCCTTTCCCGTGATTGCCCACACAAATTAATTCTCTACTCTCACGTTCTATTTTGATGTTTTCATTTTCATCTCCAAATTGTATTTCTTTTTTATTTGAAAGAACTTCTCCATTCAGCTTTGTCATTGACATATTGGAACGACTCATCTCAAACACACAGACATTTTCAACCAGAAGATCTTCTTTTCTTTTGAATAACAAGAGTAGTGCAACTGTAATAATTACTACTGTCATGAATAATATAACCATCACACAGACAACAGGAAGTACTATTACAAGTCCATAATTCAATTTTTTGGTACATTCAATTTTGTCATCACTCAATTTATATTCATTAGAACATCGAGAACAAACGGAGTTTTCTGACGAAATACAATTTGGTATATGTGAAAAATGAATACATTTTTTGTCCACTAAAATATTATAAACTTCACATCTTAAGCACTCAAAATTGGTGTCACAACTCGAACAATTTTCACCACATTTGTAACACAAATTGTATTTTAAAGCAAATCCATCCTCACATAACACACACCCATTCTTTGTTTTATTAAAACAATTCGATGGTTCTTCAATTGGATTGCAATATTTTGTAATATTATTGGGTGTTCTGTAATAACTTTCGTTACAAGAAATGCAATTTCCATCATTAGAGCACGTTTCACATGATTGGTCACATATTTCACACGTCTTTCCATCAGGAGAACGCATGTAACCATTTTTACAAACTACACATCCTTTATAAGTTGACATCATCACATCACAAACGTTAATAATTTCATTTATCTCTGTACACTTTCCGTTTGAAGCATAAGAATATTGATCACATTTTGTGCAATATGTTGAATTGGAACAAAAAGTGCACGGATAATTACATGGATGGCAAATCGAATTTGAAAGGTAAAATCCATCCAAGCACCTCAAACACCCCTTACTTTCTCTTTCGACACAATTATCTTTAAATATATCATTATCGTTTTTTCTGTTGAAAAACAATGAAACGACTTTTTGTATCATTTTTGTCCATCCTTTTTGAATACATTTTTTATCAATCAAAATATATGGGTCATAACATTACAAACATAAATTTGGAAACTGTACTGATATGTTTACAATGTGAAAAACGCGTTTTCTTTTAGTATACATTTATCAATATCTTTATAATAATCATCTTCACATTTTTTACAAATGTTTCCAACAACCTCTTGACAGTTTATCGTTTCTATTGATGAATATTTACCTTCAACTGTTATTTTGTTATTACAAAAAATACAATGCTCTTTGTTTTGAATAAAACAATCATTATAGTTAATAACACATTTTCCATTAGCAATATGACTATATTCCGTACATTTGACACAATAACTTCCATTAATACGAGTACAATTTTCAATAGAGGAGCACTTATTATTCGAAAGTAATACAAAATTATCTTTGCATAATATATCTACTTTGTTGTCCCCATATAATTGTATAATTTTTGCGTTCTCTAATTGTTCTGTTTGACCATTTCCATCCAAAGTAGTGTAAAAACCTTCGTTAGCTGTATAACAATAACTGTTTTGAGTTAGACGACAATTATCAACAGGGAGACCACACTTTGATTCATTTTTACACATCAAACAAGTGATGTTTTTGTTGTGAGTTATTTGATATTTGCATTCAGTTTTAATGGTACAGTCTCCGTTTGTTGTTATTACATCATTTAAACAAAAGTCACAAGTCTTTTTTGATAACAACGAACAACTTTCATTGTTATTTTCAATACAATTATAACTATTCAATATATAATTATTTTGACATGAAAAACAAGAAGAGTTTATTTGGAGAAGACAACCAACATTATTTGGTTTTTGAATATCTTTTTCAAAATCAAAATGTGTTTTTTCTGAATTGCCCAAAATACATTTACCATCAAAAACAACAAATTGAGGAAAACACTTTGAACATTTTGGATTTCCGTTATTATAATCACAAAGTTGACAATTGTCAATGAGTTCATAACAATTGGAACACTTTTTGACATCCGTTTTAACTTTGCCTTCTTCACATAAGACACACATTTCCACCATAGAAACCAAGCTACCCGAACACGCCAAACACTCTTTTGTTCGAGTGGAACATTTTTCACAAGAAGTTATATTTGAACATTTATAACAATTGTTGTTATCCAAAAAATACCCAACATCACATTCGACACATTTCCTTTTAGATTCATCTTCATTTGAATCACAAGATGAACAATTTCCATTCATAGAACATGAAATACAATTGTTTCCACTTCCATTGGAAATATCTTTGAGTCCAGATTGACACGAAGTACAAGCGCCACTTTCTCCAATACAATTTATACAAAAAGATGGACACGAAATGCAAAGAGAAGTGTTGTTAAGTGAATACTCTTTATCTTTACAAATTATACAATTATTATTGGAATCAAGTTCGTATCCAGGATTACCTGTTATACACTTTCCACTAATTTTATTGCATGTTGCACATAAAGCATCACATGAATTACATTTAAACTGACCATATTCTGGTTGGTAATACCTTTCTTCACATTCTTGACATAAAGAATTAATAGATAATTGTCCAGGATTACATTTGAAACATTCACTTAAACCATTCAACCCATATCCGTTTATACAAGATAAACACTTTCCATTTGTCTTGTCACAAGTCGAACAATTTGTACTACAAGAATTACATACAGAAGATTTACTGGTTGAGTAATAACCATTTTCACATGAAGAACATGTCGTAGAACCAAATTTTGAATATGTTCCAGCTGGGCATATTTCACACTCGTTTGTGTTTTGATTTGATTTTGTTCCTGATTCACAAATGGTACATATTCCCAAATTAATAATACTTCCAGATTGGCAAGAAGTGCAATATCCAGTTTCTTTGTTGCAAGTTTTACACGAAGTGTCGCACTCAATGCACGATGTAGCTCCTGTTGAATCGATGTATTTTCCATCATCACAATCATTACACACCAAGTTTCCTTGTTGTGACGAGTACTTTCCTTTCGAACATTTTTCACACTTTTTATTTGTTGTGTTGAAGAACGTGCCAGCACCACAGATTGTACACACCCCATTAATTAGCTCGTATTTGTCCACACACTATGTGCATTTGCCATTTGTGGAATCACACGTTTTACATAAATCGTTACAACTTGTACAATAAGATGTTCCACCAAGAGAATATGTGTTTTCCAAACACATTAAACATGTGTTAGTTTGATCTGAAGAATAAAATCCAGCTTCACAAATTTCACATACATTCGATAAGAACAATCCATATCCCGTATAACATGATGTACATTGTCCTGTTTTTTTATCACACGTTTTACATAAACTATCACATGAACTACAACTTGTTGAAGCTGTTTTTGATGTAAACATTCCTTCTTTGCATTCTTCACATTTTATACTTCCTGAATTTGGAGAAAAAGTTCCTGGAAGACAAGCAATACATCTACTTTCGGTTATATTATAATAATTACCAGCTTGACAACAATAACATCTATTTTTATTTAACCAACATCCTTCGTTACATGTCAGACAGGATCCAGTTTTGGAATCACATGTTTTACATGAATTGTTGCAAGTTATACATTTTGTTGAATTTTTATAAGCATACGTATTTTCATTACAAGGAAAACAATGATCACCATCATTATAATATCCAGCTTCACAACTGATACATATCCCTTCTGAAACAAAAGACCCAAGATAACAAGAGAGACAATTTCCAGTTTTTTGATCACATGTTTTACACTTTGAATCACAATTTGAACATTGGGATTGGCCAACTAAAGCATATGAATTTTCTTGACACTGTTCGCATATTGTAATTCCTCCTGGTGAGTAAGTACCTGCGGAGCATTTCTCACAAGCATAATGATTAATTATGCGACTTCCGGGAATACAATAGGTGCAGTACCCAGTTGTTGAGGAACACGCTGTACACAATTCATTTGTACAATTGACGCACATGGAAGCATTTCCAAGTGAATACGTGTTTATTGGACATGAAATACAAGTATTTTTTGTGTCTCCAATGGAGTAAGTCCCTGGATTACACGGCGTGCATTGAGTCGTTTTGTTTTGAAAAGTGTAAGTCCCATCAGGACACAATAAACAATTTGAAAAAGCAAAACCCGAAGAATAATAACCTTGCCCACATTCTTTTTTATCAATTCCATTTGGACAGTAATATCTAGGTTCACATCTGGCACAATTTCCAGTTGGAGAAAAATAATATCCCTTTTCACATGTTGGGACTCCAAGTGAGTGTTTATGGAATAAAAACACCCAGAACAAGTAGCAAAAAAACATAAATTGTTTTGTTTTTATAGTTATATTTTTAAGGGTTTAATAATGATAATTACTTTTAATTTTTTGTTTGGTGACAAAGTCAATCAAATCGACAAAGAAAATAATCAAACATAAATAACAAGATTAATTTACTTGACAAAAGGTGTTATTATTTGTGTAAAAACCCACAAAATATTAATAAATCAAAAATGTTTATTTTTTATTATTATTGATGTTAATAAATTATAAAATATATTTGATGGTTTTATAAAACTAATATTTACTTTAGATTGTTATCCATAAAAATATTAAGTCAAGTATTTAAAAAAATAAAATCAATCTTTTAAACAACTTCGTGTTTTTAGACCATAAAAAGTTATTTTTCATGAACCCATCCAAAATGCATTTTTGTGTTTTACAAAATTTCAGAATATCGCTAATAGCCATTGTTTACACAAATTTAAAATATTTTTTGTTGGTAATTATAAAAAATTGTTTTTTTTATCAATAAAAATAACAATAAAATATTTTAATATTAAAATATTTTATTGTTTGAATAAATTAATAAAAAATATAATCAATTTACTATAATAATTCATTTTGAGACAATTCAAAGAACACATGATAAAGTTTTCGTTTATTTTTTTCTTAAATAAAACAACAATGATTGATAAAATCTGTTTTCAGTTTAACGATATTCTAAAAATATAACAAAAAAAAAGAACTAGACCGAAAATATGAAACCATTATTTACTATACTCAATATCGCTAATTAAAAACCATTAACTATTAATAAAATTATCATAAATTAAAACTAATGATAAAAAAATCCTGAGCATTGACTTTTTTCCAAATCACTTGTTGTTGTTTTTCAACTTGAAAACTTAAATAATAATTTGACATGTCCACTTTATCAAACATGACATTTTATTAATTTTGAATAACCTGATTGACATGGTTTATTTCGTCGTATTCACATTACAAAACCAAGTCGTCATTCGTTTTGGCTTTATATTTTTTTCAATTGTTTATCATTTTTGTTATTTTTAACACATATTTATAAAAAAATAACAAAAAAATAAAATACAAACCATTTTTTAGAAAAAATACTTTATTTTTATTATAAATTATAATACTGTTATTATAAATAATAATAAAAACCCAATATCGTTAAATATAAAACATATTTTTTTTGAAAAATAAAATAAAGTTTGATAATTATATGTGTCCAAATTGACATATGATATTTGTATTGAATTTCAATGGAAGAGATAACCAAAAATACATCTAAAATATGGTCTTAAATTACTATTTTCATGATTTGTTTGTGACTCATTTTTTTGTTATTTTTTAACAACAAAAATGTGCACTAACCGGGACTCGAACCCGGATCTCCACCTTGGGAGGGTGAAATTCTGCCCTTAGACCATTAGTGCCTTTATATTTTACAAGTATATTACAACGTTTAATCGTTTTAATTGTGTTAATTAAGATTTTTATTAAAAAAAAGTTTATAACTAAGATATAGTTCCTAAATATTTAAAACAGTTTAATTTACTTTAAAATATTAAAAGTTGACATTTTAAATGATAATATATTATTTAAAACAGTATTAAATAAATTAAATGGTCTTTTAGAAGAAGCAATTATTTTTTGTTTTAACAAAGCAAAACTAGTCTTTTTAATTAACGTAATTAACGTCAATGGGATATAATGCGTCTGTAGCAACACCACATGTGTTATTCTCGATGGCCATTAAAATGAACCCTTTATCTCCCCATTCTTCACCCCAAGAGTTTTTGACAATCCAGTACTCTTGTCCGTTTTCATTTCCATATCCAACAGCAGATACTTCATGGTTCAAATCACTCATTTCACTCTTGCAATTTTTGTCAGTATAAACTCCACTTTTGTATAATTGCAACTTGACTGTTCTCGCATCAATTGAGACGTCAACCACACCACCAACAAGAGCAGATTTGAGTTCGTTGACATCTTTGCTTGGGACATTGATATACCCTCCAATAGTCGCAAACTTCTTTGTGAGATCAACAAGGCATTTACCATCAACTGCGGTGTATGGGTAATCACTCTCTTGAACAACCCCGTTTTTCTTTATATACTCAAACGAACGTTTTCCAAGACCACCCCAACACCCATTGTTCCCTTCAATCAGAGAACATTGAACTATTTGTTCCTCAGACAAATCAAGTGTTTTATAATTTCCACCTATCATCAACAATCGCCCTTCTAAAGACGATAAAGAACCAAACGCATAACAACCACCACAATCGCCCTGATTTCTGACGGGAGTCACTTTGTTATCTGCTCGAAGATCCAAAGAGGCTGGAAATCCCATTTTCAACGACTTGACGTTCGTTGGAGGATCACTGTTAAAGCGTTTTAAGAGAGAGAAGTACTCTGTCTCTGTCATAGCTGCAAGCGGACCTTCAACAGATAATTTGAATGTGTTCGAAGTGTTGGAATTAAAAGAATTGACTAGACGAGAGTTAAAGATGAAAATTGCGCGTCTCCGTAAAAACTCAACCGAGGAATAGCGTTTTGAATATTTTAAAACCCATTTTGAAAAGTCCATAGAGT